ATTGATCTATATGCAATGACTATATCAAATGGACACTTCACAGTTTAGAAGTAATTTATATCTATAATTTCGAGAGTGCAATTCCAAGTTTATAGTGGAGTAACTATTGGAATTAATAGAATTAATTAATTAATGAAAGTGTTTAATTAATTATTAATTTTATTGGAGCTCAGGATTATAGGTCCATTAGTCCCCGCGTCGTCCTTGTAATTCTACTAGACACAAAGGACAAAATGGGACTTTTAGAATTATGGAATTCTAAAATTAAATGCTCAAAAAATTATTAATTGAGAATTAATTATTATTTAAATAATGTAATTATTTAAATTTGAATTTGAATCATGAACATAATTTAAATTTATCATCTTAAACTTATTTGATAAGTTGTTCAATTTAGAATTCAAATTAATTTAAGTTTGACTTAAATTCGAATTTGAATTTGAATTAAAATTGGACTACAGGATAAAGGATGATTTTTCTTCCTTCCCTATCTGTAATTGGCGCCACACACAGGGTAAAAACCCTAAGGGGTGGCCGGCCACAATGGATAAGAGAAAGGGAAATTTTTTGTTCAAAATTCAATTAGGAGATAGAGATTTGATTCTTTTTTGAAGTTTGACTTCTACTCTTTAAATATGAGAATGATAGAAAATTGCGGACACAATTTTTAACAACAATTTTTCTGCCCTAACTATTAGGTGGCCGAAATTCTCAAAGGTAAAAAAGAGAGGAAAATTTTTTCTCCTAAAAATTCCACATCGTGCATGCGTTGGTGTTTGTGAAAAAATTCGAGTGTTTATTCAAGCATGTTTTGTCTCACGTGTGCCCACACACACGTCTGCATGGAATCAAGGAATTGACGTGGAAGACTTTGGTTTTCTAAACACAAAAATTGGAGCAAGGATTGTTCGTGGTCAAAGAACTCAAGTAATCATCCGAGTCGGCCTCCATGTATTTTTCCTAATTAAGTTCTTGACATATAAATTAATGTGATTAATTTATTCATGCATAAATTAATATAATCTATAGAGTATCTCAAAAGTTTTATGAAAATTTTTGTTATACACGATCCGCCTCCCCGCCACACTTCCGCATCCGAATTTGATTCGGTTTCCAACATTAATATGGTGAGATATTGAATGAGTGTATTTCGCATAATGAAATTATGTGGAACAAGGACACAGATACAATATGAATTTCTAATAATTTCCGTTAAGCATAGAAATTCTAATTGAGTCTAGCGATGGTCATATATAGAATGATCTTAATCCCGAGTTCTTAACAAACTCCTATTTATGGATTTGTGTCTTTTGATTTACTCGGTACGGATTCTGAGACTATGAATCATATTTCTTGTATTTTGGAGACATGATGAAATAGGTAGCCGGGAATGTTATTATACGAGATGGAATCCATTCCTTCTTGAGAAGGACGTAGATAAATAATTCTCTTGAGTGTTGATTCGGTACTTGGACTAGTTAGAGCGCTCTGGTTTATGAATGTGTTTTATGAATCACTATCCATTAGAGAATCAATGGTACTCAAGGATGAATATATAATTAGAGAGGTTAACGGATTCTACCTGACTTTAATTATGAATTATTTATGGAGGATTGATCTATATGCAATAATTATATCAAATGGACACTTCACAGTTTAGAAGTAATTAATGTCTATAATTTCGAGAGTTCAATTCCAAGTTTATAGTGGAGTAACTATTGAAATTAATAGAATTAATTAATTAATTAATTAAAGTGTTTAATTAATTATGATTATTTAAATTTGAATTTGAATCATGAATATAATTTAAATTTATCCTTTTAAACTTATTTGATAAGTTATTCAATTTAGAATTCAAATTAATTTAAGTTTGACTTAAATTCGAATTTAAATTTGAATTGAAATTGGACTACAGGATAAATGATGATTTTTTCTTTCTTCCCTATCTGAGATTTGCGCCACACATAGGGTAAAAACCCTAAGGGATGGCTGGCCACAATGGATAAGGAAGAGGAGAATTTTTTGTTCAAAATTCAAACAGGAGAGAGAGATTTGATTCCTTCTAAAAGTTGGACTTCTACTCTATAAATAACGGATGATGAAAAATTGCGCGAGACAATTTTTTAACCTAATTTAGAGAGGGCTGGCCGAATTCCCTAAGAGCAAGAGAAGGAAAAATTTTTTCTCCCAAAAAATTCCACATCGTGCATGCGTTGGTGTTTGTGGAAAATTTGAGTGTTTAATCAAACCCATTTTAGTCTCGAGTGTGCCCACACACACGTCTACGTGGAATCAAGGAATTGACGTGGAAGACTTTAGTTTTCTAAACACAAAGATTGGGGCAAGGATTGTTCGTGGTCAAAGAACTCAAGTTATCATCCGAGTCGGCCTCCAGGTATTTTTCCTAATTGAGTTCTTGACATATAAATTAATGTGATTAATTTATTCATCCATAAATTAATATAATCTATAGAGTATCTCAAAAGTTTTATGAAAATTTTTGTTATACTTGATCCGCCTCCCTGCCACGCTTCCGCATCCCAATTCGATTCGGCTACCAACAGGTAATCGGTTAATGAGATAAACAACGATTAAAACACACTCACCCCAGAAATGCAAAGGTAAATGGGATTGAAAAAGGAGTGCTCGTGCTACAATGAGAATGTGACGATGCTTCCTTTCAACAACTCCATTTTGTTGTGGAGTGTAAACACAAGTGCGTTGATATGTAATGCCATGAAACCTAAAAAAATTTCTCATAGACAAGAATTCAGAACCATTGTCTACTCTGACTACTTTGACATAGGCATGAAATTGAGTATAAGCAAAATCAATGAAAGATTTCAAAATGTTTTGAGTTTCAGACTTGTGCTGCATAAGGAATATCCATGTACATCTTGTAAAGTCATCTACAATGGTAAGAAAGAATCGTGCCCCTGAGTGTGTGGAAACTTTGTGAGGACCCCAGATATCACAATGTAATAAGTTAAATGGAGCATTAGTTGATATGGAACTTATTGGAAATGGAAGTCTTGTTTGTTTTGCCATAGGACAAACAGTACAATTATTGTCATAAGAAATATTTTTTGAAGATAATAATGAAGAAGCTAATTTAAGGCGAAATGGTGATGGATGTCCAAGACGCATATGCCATAGACTGGAAGGGTGTGAAGCTTGATGACAGGTTTGGTGTTCTTTACAACGGAGGCATGTAATAGAGACCACCATGTTGTTTACTCGAGCCAATCATCTTCCCCGTAGCCAAGTCCTGTAGGACACAAAAGGTGGGGAAAAAATGGCAAAACAGTTTAGGGCATTGGTAATTTTACTCACAGAAATCAGATTTAAGCGAAAACTAGGAACACACAGAACATCATCTAAGGTGATATCAGAATTGAAGGATACAGTGCCAGTTGAAGTGATTGAGGCTGTAGATCTGGTTGGTAAATTAACAATAGGTATTGATGATGATTGTGTTTTAGTGAAAAGTGTGGAATCAGAGGTGATATGATCGGTGGCCCCACTATCTAAAATTCAAGGCTTAGTGAATACAGAATTAATCAAATCATCGGAAAATGGAGATAGACCTGTCGTATTTGCATAAGTGTTTTTATTACCAGCACTATGGCTTAGGCTCATCATTGATAAGGCACGGGAAGTTGTTGGAGTTGCTCTGTGGAAAGTCCTTGCAAGGCATTTACCGGGTCAGGAATTTGGCTTGTTTTGCTAATGTCCTGTGGATAAACTCCATGTGTAGATTGAGGGGAATCTGTTGCATTAGCAGTAGGGAAATAATTCCTTCAAAAACCACGCCGTTGTCCACGTTGTTGCTGTTGTGATTGACCTTGTCGATTGTCTATAATGTTGGGTGTCCATGTGCCATTTTTGTATATGCATCTATCCTCAGTATGCCCTCTTCTATCAGAGTGTTTGTAATGAAACTTTAGAGTCTGACAATTTTCAATTGTGTGGCCCCCTCTCTATTATAGTGTTCACAATACTTTCCCTTTGATTTATTTGAGGAGTTGTTCGAATGATTCTGAACTGCAGTAGCAATGGAGAAGTTTTAAGTTGTCTCTAATGTCACTTGCTGTTGCATTTCATCTTGAATGACGAGAGACTAGGCCTGACGAACATTAGGCAGTGGAGTTATCATGAGGATGTTGCTACGAACGCCACTGTAAGTGTCATTAAGGCCCATGAGGAATTGCATCATCCGATCTTCTTCTCTTTGTTCGATGTGCGCCTTCATCAGGTTGCAAGCAGGGATAGATCGATATGTATCTAATTCGTCCCAAAGAGACTTGAGTTTTGTGAAATAGGCCGAGACTGCCATCATGCATTGTGAAAGAGATGCCAGTGATTTTTGAATCTGATAAATTGCTGGTGCGTTTTTCTGTGAGAATTGGTCTTTGAAATCTTCCCACACTTGACGAGCCATTTTGGCATGAATGACTCCCTTGGTTAGATTAGGTTCCACCAAATGAGTAAACCATGATAGAATCATGTTGTTGCATTGATTCCAAAGTGCATATTCTGTTGAATGCTCTGTTTCAGAAGGTGGCTCAATAGATCCATTAATGAAACCGATTTTGTTCTTGGCTGTAAGGGCATGAATCATGGATTTACTCCATGATGGATAATTGGAGCCATTCAGTTTCGTTGGAACAAGCACGTGACCGGGTTGATCCGAATGATGAACGAAATATGGACTGGATGAATCCATGGTTGAAGTGACGTTGCTGGTGTTTGGATGTTTGGAAAGGGATTTTTCTGTTGATGTTTGTCTTGTATCTGTCATGGTGTTTTACTGGTTGTAAAGGCTTTTGAAACAATCAGCAATCAGGCTCCAGGATGTGGCTCTGATACCATCTAAAATAATGATAGTGGCTGAACAAATAATGGAGGAATTGAGATATGTTTTCATTAACATTGTGCAGTATATATACAAAAAATACAACGCATATGGCAGACTAAGTCTAAGGCTTGGAAGCCGTGATCCCCTTTTTGTGGGATTTGAATTACACTAATTTGGAAGGTAAATAAAGAAATGATGGTTGCACAATAAATACAACTAAACCTTTAAAGAGTGAATAAGAGTAAATATTTATGCCAAGCCTCGCGACTCTAAGTATTTGAGAATCTTTCAAGACTTAAATAAAATTAGTCGGAGGACCCTCATTAATGTTTATGAGGTATATATCATACTCAATAAATGGTTATACCTTTTATACTCATGAACAAGATGGAAAGGATCTCGTCTAAAATAGTGGTGTGAGTCTCTAAGTGAAGTTGTAATGCTCGCGTCAAAGTTTGGCACATAATGTTTTGAAAACAAGTAAAGATAGATTAGGATTCAATTTACTCAAATATATAATCGTTAAAGAACAAAAAAATCAAAACCTAAATTGCATCACTCAACACAAGTTCATCTATAGTCCCACTAAAGAAAACTTTAACCTGACTTGCTGAAATTCTCACAAGTTTTTAAAAGAAAATATGAGAAATAACATTAGGTAGAAAATTAAGACAAAAGATTGAATTTTTAGTGTTTAAGGTTTAGGGCTACCTAATAATCAAGGAAGTAAATCTACAAAAACGAAAAATTGCAAAAGAAATGGAAAGAAAATAAAATGTGGAAAACTCAATTTGATGAGAAGAAAATTTGGCTAATTTGATATGATTGAGTAGAATTTTAAGGCAACTAGGCAATTGATTTCACATAAGACTAAGGACCCGTTTAATTCATTAATTAAAATTTTTAATTTAAGTAAAAATATAATTTTATATGAGAGTTTTTTACTGTAGTAAAAAAATAAATGTGTTTATTTTTAAAAAAAAATTATTATAGCAAAACTCAAATTCTAAATTTAAATTGGTGAAATGAAATAACGGCCTTATAAATCGCATGGAACGTTGCATGGGCTGATTTGCTGTTTATACTATATTCGCCAAATGTCGCTCGCTGATTGGACATCCGAGGTCCACTAGGTACTCGTACGTGGAGTGATCGCGACAGGCTTAGAAGGAAAGGCGCTTGGGGACAGCTAAGTCCCATTACTTCTGGAGGAGATGGCGAGATGAAGACGCGCTCTGGGGTGGGGCGTGTGGGAGACACTCGCATGATGTGCTGGAGAGGTGCAGCACTGACTGTGCTGACGGGTTGGGACCCACGAGCTGCGCACTGATTGGCAGACGCTGATCTTGGCTCGGCTTGGCTCTTTTCTAAAATGGTGGCTTAATTTTGCATGCCTTCCATGTCTATATTGCATGGCTTTGCATGGCTCTTTTTGTGTATTTTTACACTGCTTTTTAAACCTGCAAACAAATAAGCTGAAACTAAACATTTTTCAATAAAAATATTATGTATAAAAATCATGAAAATGCTTAATAGAAGCTTAGCATTTATTCAATATTTAGCAGTATTTAAAGTGCATCTTATTTCCCGATCGCTTAAAAGGGACAAAAGAAACATCTTGTTCTTTCTTCTATAATTTATGATCTCTAATGGACTTCTTAGTAGGATTTGAATCCAGATGAAGTTCTGACCATCTATCAGAGAAAAAAAATGAATGCATCTTGTACGATTCCCAAGAACAAGAAATTCTTCAACTTATTCTGGAAACATATGATTATTCATCTGCTTCTCACGTTCCGCAAATAGCCAGGACAATAACGAATATCTAAAAGGACATTTAAGAGATTGGTCTGATTCTATCTTTGTTCGTTCCATTGGAAGAAAGGGAGGATCCCAAAAAATCGATCTTTCTTTTAGTTTTTGAATCCCTCATTGATTGATTAATGTGTGATATTCTGAATCCTCATTACTAAATGAATCAAAATGATCTCTGAATCGATCAGAAGATGTGTACTTATCATTCACCAACTAACTTGCGGAAAAATTTTCAAACAAAGATCTTGACACCCTCTCGTATTTCATCAGTATTGAAGTTATCCCCTCTACGTATGGTCATTTCTTGTCCCAACATAAATATATCCATGACCTTTTGGAGAAAATCAACACGCTTGATGCAAAAGATGTTCACACACCAATCTCTCCAAATCATGTGCTAAGTCTCACTGATGGTACCTAACGCATGGATGCTATAGAATATAGTTGATTGTTGGTAGCCTTCAACAAGTATTTCTTATGCGACCAAACAATACCTTTCCCATCAATAAATTATCTCAATTTATGCATCGTCCCACCACACAATATTGGTTCACCGTCAAACTTTTCCTTTCTTACCTTCGAGGTACTATCCACCATGGTTTGTTTCTTCACCAAAATTCACCGTTGTTACTCCATGGTATCTCTGATGTCGACTGTCCTGGTATGATGACCAAACCTCCACAAATGCTCATGTTGTGTTTCTGGGCCATAATGCTATTTGATGGAGTTCCAAGAAACAACATGATATTACCCGATCCTCTACTGAAGCCCAGTATCAAGCTATGGCCTCCATCACTGCTGAAATTATGTAGCCACAATTGATAACTCTGTAAAACAGAGTTATTTTTGCTTCTATTTGCGTTTAAATTGTATTTGTTCTCGAGATTTTCATTTATTTTATTTTATTTTATTTTAGCTTTATTTTGTTTCCTTTTAGTTTACCTTAGTTTATTTTATTTAGTCCCCCTAATATTTAAGTCCCGTTTAGTTCGTTTATTCGAGTTTTTAATTCGATTTGAGATGTTATTTTATGTTAGAGTTTTTTATTATAATAAAAAAGTTAAATATGACTGTTTTTAAAAATTTTTTACTGTAATAAAACTCAAATTTTAAATTTAAATCGATAAAATGAATAAAATGTAAGTGGTTCTCATTTGTGAGGGTCAATTAGGTGAAATGGGGAAATTTAAGGCAAAATCAGAGTTAATTTAATTAGCAAGAATAGAAAAAAAAGAAAGCGAAAACCGGATTTAGTTCTCCACCACTAGCAGGAGTCTAAAGCGGAAGCCACTTGCGATCAGAACCGTTAATAAGCCAATCAGCACCAATCGCGCGAGTACCTAGTACTCCTTCCACGCGCGCATCATCAGCAACCTGTTAGGTCCCTTCAGATTGGCAAACCCACTGTGTCGCGCTTCATTAGCTCTCCCGTGCATCTTCACGTTGGCCAATAGAAACGTGCCACGTATCGCATCCGTCACCTCAACCAACAGAAGCACGCCACCTGTACGTGTGACGTCAGCACCCAATGGCTCTTTACTTTTTTCTCTCTTGACCTGTGAATCCATGTGATTTTGAGGCTATAAATAAGCCTAGACCCCTATGACGATCTTTCATTCAAGTGCTCAGAAAAACAAGGAGCCCCATTGGAAAGCTGATTACAGTAAATTTTGGAGAATTTATTTTGGGGTTATGGGGTAGTTTGTTTTAGGATTTTTATTTTATGTTTTAGGATATTATTTCAAGGGGAAAATATTTTAAACATCAAGAAGAAGAAAGATTGGGGAGTTAAGTTTTGAGAATTATGAGACCTACACTTTTTTTTTCCTAATTTTTCTATTTTTATATTTTTGTGAATTGAGATGTTGAAACCTTTGATATTTTAATTTTCTTTTATCAGGGTTATGAGATTATCAACTCTATTTTAATTTAATTTAATTTATTTTTGTTTCCAAAGATTTATTCTCTACGAGTTTGTTGCTTTACGCTGAGTGTTTAATAATGTTTGTTGATGGTCGTTTTCGTATCATGCTCATATAAGGGTCTAGGCCTAATCATTTCATCCGGCGACCAGATTGAGCTCGATTGGTGGACCCAAGCCACGCTCGGAGAACTCGCGTGGGTCGTGATTTAGTGGGTCATGGGTAATCAAATGAGCCCATTTGTTTCTTAGTCTGATCCGATTTTTAGTCATGCTTGGGAGTTTTAAAATAATTAGGCTAAAGAATGAATGGGTGATGGAAAATCTAACCCCTAAACGCCTTTGTTTACCTTTTGGGAGTCTTAGAAACCCTTTCCTTAGCCTTTTGGAGACTTGAAAGTCAGAAATTTAAGTCATGGAACCTTCCCCTTCTACGCTGTTAGGTCCGTTTTTCGGTCGGTGTCACAAAGAGTGTTGCAACACTAGTTGTAACACTGATGACAGACATGTTGAAATTAAACCAGCAAAAACACGACAGAGAATTAAAAACGTGCAGAAACATAAAGTAATGCAGGGGAAAACTAAAGAACACCAAAAATGATATCGCAGTTCGGTGCGCACACCTACTCTGCAGGGCCACGCCCAGACAGTGAACAATCCACTAAGATCAAAGGATTACAAACACTAATCAGACTTATACACCCAAAGACTCCCTCCTTGACGTTGTCACTGCCGTGTCGAATCTCCTTAATGGCCTTGTCCAGCGAGCACCACTCGTCTTCAAATTGCACGGCGAAATCCCTTTGGCTGGCAGGGTGCTTTCTCCCGAAAGCTTCTAATTCTTCTCCCGAAAGACGATCTTCAATCAACACATAAAGGCTCACTCTCACATAGACTTTTTCTAAATATTACTTCTATAAAAACTATGCCCCATAATATGGCATTGAATTGCTTTTTAAAATCATAAAGCACAAAGGCTCATTTTTTTTCTTCACAGCCCCTCACTTCACGTACACACATGCTACATATATATCAATAGCACCAATCCGGATTTTTCCTTATTTTGCAAAGCACATGTAGCATATACTACTTTGGCACCAAGATCAATACCATTTACACTCCAAATCAAATATATCCAAGATATCTCTTCAAATCTCTTCAAATCAATTATGCAGCAAATCACTTTTCCATATGAGCACATTTTCTC